TAGGTAGAAAACCCAAAGGAAAAGCCACAGGTATAAGTTGAGAAGAAAGGGAAAGCCTGTATTTGGGCCACATTACTATACTAGTTCAATCTTTTATCGTTTCTGTGAGTTCAGCCTGTTTTCAGTGCAATACCACATGCAAAATAAATAAAAGGAAGGCAGAAACTCCCAGGAAATACCAATACAGCACAGCACAGTAGCTGGTCTTCCCAATTTCTTTATTCAGCTGTCTGTCTCCCTTGCATCCGCTTAGAAATATGGCAAGGCCCTATACGCTTCCCTACCACCAGGATACGTTTTCTTCAGCCTGACTTCTCAGTTTCTAAATCCTATGTTCCCATGGTGGCAGAGAGCAGAAGAACCGTATACAGCCTGCAAGGAAACCATGATGCAACGACATTGCTATTCTTGCCCACCTAACGAAGCAACAGCAGTCCTTATTATTACACACTCGTATGGAATTCTTAAATACGGTACCCATGAAACAACCTGATCTCACAACAGCCATCTAAACTGCGGGGAGAGAGGGAGAGGCCACAAGAGCTGATCTGAATAAGATGTCCTGTTCCCTGTGGTCCGTCTTTTCTCCTCAAAGTTTTACAACTTCGCAAAATACTTCCTCAGTATTCAGAAAAAAAAAAAAGGCATTTAATAAAAATCAAATGTTGCATTATTATATAAAAAAAAATTATCCAATGTAACAAAAACACAAACGAAAATTCCAGTATTTTTGAGGCTTTAACCGTATTTCTAGACCCTGAGACATTCAGCTTTCTTGACGTGGGATGGGCTTCTGGTTTTACTTTCCTTCATACATTTTACTCTTAATTTACAGATACATATCATCACTATAACCACCATCACAATTGTTTTGCCTTTGCTTATATTTTAAGATGATACGATATTAAAATCACTTTGCCTCTATTTCAAAGCCATAGCTTGGAATAAAAAATAAATGCTGCCTTATGAACTTTACCAAGACCGACAATCTGACCTTACACTTTCTTTAAAGAGAATGAATTCGTATACCAAATCCAGTTAGGCTCTACTCTTGCTACAGTAGAAGAGCAAGAGACAGAAAGAGCTAGGTCACAATTTCTCTTCTAATTATTGAACTAAAACACATTAAAGCCTCTTCTATAATTCATAGCTTGTCTGCTACTGGACTTATGAATAATTTGGGAGCAATAAGAGTTCTTTTCAAGGAACAAACAGGGAAGCGCTGCAATGATACATATTTCATTTTACAAGAGCGCTGCCAGTTTACTTGGTACCACGTCTGCATTTCTGCCACTACCGATTATGTTACAAAGTAATGACATCGATGCCTTTGTGCTTTTATTTGCTTACCTACAGATAACTAGGCACAATTTTTCATGATTCTTTGGCAGCGATCTAATAAACACAGTTAATAAAAGCACCACCTGTTTCTATCCATCAGTCCCAAAACAGCTGTTTCATCGTGGTTAGTGCCTGTAGGACTAATCCTTTTTTGCTTCCCTACCAACATCAGTATTTAGTAGGTACTGTACTTGTGGTCTGACAGCAAATACTTCAATTCTTTTAAAGCTATTCATTTGCATTTTATGTTCAAACAGGTAAAAGTCTGTAAAGTGAAAATACTAGGGGCATGTATTACGATACATCTGACACACAATATATTAGAAAGATACAACTTTTTGCATTTGACAAGCGTCTCATTGAAAGACTGATGCACACTGCATTAAACGTAGTCGAAGACAGTACCACAAGAAACAAAGAAAGGAAAACAAAGTCATTCTGATGAAAAATTCACTGGATTCAGTATATGGCCAATCAAAGTTTAATGCCAACTGCCTTTGCAAATACCAGGGACTAGATGTATATCAGACCTGAACAAGACAAAACCCATAAACAGCACATAATGCAGACCACCTTCCCTTCAGAAGAAAATATCTCATCTTCCTTCTAAATGTATTTACCATTGAGATACAGTCAACTATTTCACAACTTTTCTGATTCAGATAATGTTCCCTGAAAATAGAATAGGTAGGTAGACCCGTACAACTGTCTTTTTTGATCTTATGTTTCAAACACATTGCGCCTATTTGAGTACATACCTTGCGTATACTTTCACCTTGACTCAAAAAACAAAAAGCCGATACGCTACCTTGAACTAGAAGAAGAAAAATATGAGTCTTCTACATCATCAGTATACTTTTTCTTTGGTTTTGCAATTGTAGGTGTTTCCTGTTCTATTGTTTGCATATCTGAGGTGACAGAGTGGGAAATGCCGCTAGGAAACAGAAAGACAGTAAGTATGTAAAGAGATGACAAAGATCATACCCTAAAAAAATGAAAACGCAAATCTAGTTTCTGAAGCTTGCTGATAACGCCCAAGCTATACAAACATTTTAAAAAGAAAGAAAAAAAAAACCACTCCTGGAGAAATCAGCTGCAGTTCTCTAAGCAGTGACAAAACTTTTGAACAGACTTCTGAGACATTTCAGCAGCTGTAAAACATGGTGATTTTTCAAAGTCTTGGCTTGTAGCAGATACGCTATGCTTTAGTTTGTGGCATTCACGGAAAACATTCCTGCCATCTTCCTCATCATCAGCTAACTGGTGCAGAAACCCAAAAGCCACCCTACAATTTAAGTTTTACCCTACCAGACAGGCAGTAACTTAAATCCATCAGAAGCAATCCTGCTCCTTCCCCCTGACAAATACTAGATGCTTTGATGATAACAGCTTCAGCTTCTATAACACACTTCAGGACACTGTTTCACTTCTTAAAGAAAATCAAGAGTAACTGTACTACAACTACATAGAGTATATTTAATACAATTTACAGAACTTCACATACCTTCTGTTGCTGCCAAATCCGATGCCAAGTCTCTCTAATTCATTCTTCTTCTTATCAGATAGATTTAATTTTTCTTCTTTTGTTTTAATATCAAGCTCTCTGTAGGCCAATCGTAAAGATGATACACTGAAACAAAACATACAGCTAATGTATAACAACTGTAAAATGCTAAATGTAACGCCCAGCCCAATAATATTGGTGGAAAATTAGCAATATATATTGTAACCCTGAATTCTGTATTTTCTGTGTTTACTGAAAATACTCATTATTAATGGGACCAAATTCCAACTACAATGATGGGAGAAAGCCAAGAGAGAAGACAGTCTAAAGAGTACCCAAGTCTGTGTACGCACAGACAGTCTTTTTCAAAACGTATGGGAAATATGGTACTGCTAGAGTTCACGAGACAGTTTTGAATCATCATCAAGTCAACCTGAATGGGTTGTCTTTGCAATCTTAAGTGCGTACGATACCAAATAATTATCAAAATTATCTGACCCTGAGGTACTGTAGCATTCAGAATACAATACCAGTAATGTGTTCCCCTAACGTGTAGCTCAGCCCTCACTACGCCTGCCTCTACCTTTGGCCGTCTCCCTCCCTCCACTCCCTCCTTTCATGCTTCTAGGAGTTGGTTTTACATAATCTATGTACTTCCTGTACATACTTAGAAGGCACGTGCTAAAGATTTTATGGTGCTCCTCCCTGTTCCCAACAAAGTATCTGAGAAGAGGGGAGAAGGGAACCTTTGTATCCCTAAAACGGAACACATTCTGAGTAAAGGAACCTCCAAAGCATCCACAGTTAGGGTTTTCTGCACTGTTGACAACACGTTCTGTCATCTGAAACAGTCCCATAATTCAGATAATACAGTTTCTTGTCTTTCGGAGATGCTGGGGACTTTCCTAAACCTTAAAATAATCTTATCAATAATTATTTTTCAGCAGCACCAATGTCATAGGGACAAAATTGTTTTTAATCTTGATTACAGAATTATAGAAACACTGCTCAATTTTATTTGTTAGAGTCAAAGGGATACGAATAGTCATTTCAATGTGGAATGCAGCAATGTTTAATTCATAAGCTGTGCCTGGCATAAAATACAAATGAATGCTATCAGAAAAAAGGTAAATGAGATTTAGGAGGCTGCTGGTAGACTTTCTGCCTTAAGTAGAAGGTGTGTACTGTTGTCTTTGTAAACATACATTTCCATTGTAACATTCCACCATTTCATGCAGAAGTGGAGATGAAAAGAAAACAGATTTTTGACCAAGGAATATCATCTTCCAACGTGTAACCTAACCACAGGCTCTTCCTGCCTTGCTTGCCCCATGCACGCATACTTAACTTTAAACAGGAGAACAACATGCTCCTACCATGAGGACATGATGTTCCCACCTTGATGGTTAGCACACTCTGCTGGGAGACAAGAGCTGTGTGGCTGAACCCCTCAGAATGAAAAGGGCACAGAATTTGGTGGTCTTACTTCCCAGGCAAGGGATGCAGGTACAAGCCTAGTATATAGAGTGGGATATCTCACCTCCAACTGCATTTCAAAAAGGAGGAGAGTGATCTTAATCACGTGATGTTTAGGTATCCTTGGACTGGGGCCTTCAAACTTGGATCCTTGAATCCACCAAGTCTCATGTTCAAATGGTTACAGCAATAAAAGTCAAATACAAAACAGGATCTACCTGTTAAATCATTTTTGAAACCAATAAAATCAGAACTGCTTATCTTTAAAGCAGAGAATACGTTTAGGGAAGTTTTTCATCAGATTTTACTGTTTAGAACTGATGTTACATGGAAAATTGAAAACGGTGACTGAAGAGTCAACTCAGAACTGCTACTAAAAAAAAAAAAAAAAAAAACTACCCAGGACTTCAAGGTGAAAGATTAGGAGCTTACTTTATGAAAGCTATTTTATCAATATCAAAAAAAATTTTATTTGCTGCCAATTAAACCAAATAGGGATACTGACCAATCTTTTCAAAGTAGCTCTAGTTGTCTGTTCTCTTGTCAGTGCACAGCAGAAAATGAAGAAATTGTGCACCATTCTAAAATTACATTTTAAATTTAAGCCTCAGCATTGTTTTTGCTTCTAAGCATTCCACTACAAAAGTATCATTTCAGTGCCAGCCATATTACAAAGTCACACTGAATTAATTCATTAAAGCTCATTATTTCAGCTTTTTAAATTAAAACCAACATAAAAATTGCTTGGAGGCTAATGCAATTTTGGAGGTATTCACCCTTCTCTAATTTTGGTATATACTGCCATCTACAGGTAAAAAATCCAAAAAGTTTATCTTTAGGAAAATGTATTTGTCTTGCCTCTAATGGGATCAGATCTGTAATCTGAAGGGTATGTGCACCCCTCGCATTTGCAGACATTTTTGGAGGTTCGGGCCACTTCAGTCACCCATGTAACACACTGTCCGAAAGCACAGAACAATCACCCAAGACCACACTGCAGAGATATCAGGTCACATTCTACTAAAGGTTGCCTCAGACCTATGAATTGTGTACTGACACAAATGTTTCTGATACAAAAGCAGAATCACTATTTGGGACTTTATTCTTTAACGCTACTATTCATTTTGGAAGAACAGCAACTAATAATGAGCAATCACTATTCTTTTTATTTAGTAGTATGTTCCTCCTTTTCAGTACATTGGTACTTTTTCAGCAGTCACTAAGAAGCATGACTTTGTGGTGAAAAATACTTAAGGAAAATTAATGATTTCCCTGTGATTAATATTTTTGAGGCAGAGACTACAGACCAAAGACCTTTGTTCCACAAACCCCAAGTGATCCTGTAATTATACAATAATTTAGAAAATTTCTTAATAGGTTATAAAGATGATGCATCTTAGCACTTAAAAGACAGGACTTTTAACTTTGCAACAGTTTACACTAGCCAGGTCTTTACTAGACTAATTTTGATGACAACTACCAGAACGTTGGAAACCAAAAACATGTATTGGAAGAAGCTAATGGAAAGAACTACAGAACAGTGCCCCATGAGCTTTAGGACTGAGCTAATGAAGATGGACTAACAGATTCAAGGTCTCAGATAAAAACATTCAAAGGCTTTTGATGAAAATGAAGGCAGTTCCAGTATAAACCATCTGAAACTTATGGAGGCAATATCCAGCAATGCTTAAACTACTCCTTGCCTTCAGCGGAGTTCTTACAAATACTCAATTTTATTTGTACATATTGGATACGTTCCCCGTGCTCTTAAGAAGACTGTTTATATAGTTCAGCTCACCACATTAAAAAAAAAAAAAAGGTAACTAGCATTGGGTGAAGAAAATTTAAGAGGCCAAATATTTGTGATAATACTTAAACTTCACATATATTTTATTTCACATTTTATTTTTCAGCAGAACACCTCCTTATTTTCTGTTTTAAATAAAAATAACATTAACGCTTTTTTGTTTGGTTGTATTTTTGTTTTTTAAGATTGCATTGGGCTACTTCTACAGAAAATCTTCAATTGTAGAAGCACATATACCTAACTTCAAATAAATAAAAAAAAAAGCCAATAGAGCAATTACTTTTTGGCCCACTTCAGTCACATTTCAGGACTTAAGCAATAAATGAAACTTTATTTGCACGAGCTAGTCTTTTGCAGTATTTAAAATGCTGACAATTACTTCATTAACATGAAATCAAGTATTACGTTTTACCACTGTATAGACAATTCATACTTACAGTGGCTCTTCCTTCTCAGTTCTCTTACTGATGTGAAGATCCTCATGTTCCTTCATTTTATCTACAGCTTGCGCTTGTTTTTCAATCTCATTAAAGCTTTGGCTGCTCACTTTTTGTGCCCCCAAACCACCTTTTTTGGCACCAAGCTTGATTTATTAAAAACAAAAAACAAAAAACCTCAACGTTATAACTTAAGACGATCACCTCAGCCGGCTTAGTGGTCAACTCTGAAAGTAACAGCAAATACTGTACTCTGTTCTAGAGGATAGACAAACAGCAATGAAGATTTAGAGCAGAGGAAAATAATAGTTTTTTATGTTTTGACCTGCTATACATGCTGTTTGGAGGGGCTACTAACTCTTCGAAACGTAGTTAGCCCTGCAGTCAACTATTAGAGCCAGAAATTGTAATGCTAGAAAGTGTTATAACTGATAAGAACTTGTCATGTTCAAATACAGGCTATATTATATGGCACAACTTTAGTTTCATAATAGTTACTTTGTTGCACAGAAATAGCATAATCAAGTTTGTTGCAACTGAATCATTTGGCGCTAGTTCACTCAACTCGCAGTTTAAATATGGAAGTGGCAAAGATTCTATAACTAGTTCTCATTGGCCAGTGTTACTGTTTCTTATCTTATGATTAAGGATAGATGTATCCGTATTTTTAATAAATGGGTACATATTTATTAATTTATGGTAGGAAAGCAATATCCAAGTTTTGTACATATGTAAGTATGCAAAATCCGTAAACATGCAATCATTAGTCTTTGCATGTGACAAAGTGTAGTAAACTTTTTTAGACAATCACATCAGCTGACAGGTTACAGTTTTGCACTGGCTCTTTTAAAATAATTCTATTTCTAGTTCCTATTATTTCAACAGAAGAATACATATTCTTTCACTCTGATTATCACTGATTTAAAAATCATAGACTATTTTAAATATGAAGAGATACAACAATGCTGATCAGAGGTGGCACAGCACTCAAACTCAGTCTCAGTTTCCCATATGTTTATTCCTCCCCTGCAACACTGCAGCAATATTTATTTTCGCATTGCATTCATCTTAACCCACTTTCAAGTCTTCATGCAAGCGCTCTGGCCTGTGTACACAGAGAATAGTACAGTCAGGCTCTAAATTATAGTTCAAAATGTACATGCACCTCCGAATCCACTTACGTGCTTCTGACTGTCCATTAATAATAGATCAGAAATTCTTTGGCATGTTAGGGCCCTCTAGTGGGAGCAAGGAATAACGGGCCTCAATCTAAATGAATCTTCTGCTCCAATAAAACTTGAAAATCTTTGCCATACAATGGCCAAGACTTACAAGAAGTGAATAATGCATTGTCAGCCTAATAGCCTAATATTAGGACTCAGGAGCCATATATCCAAAATCAGACCAAAGAATGCACTGAACCTCCATGCTCTATGCAAGTACTGTAACCATGTCAACGGATGCCAACCTGTAGCACCCAGGCTACTAACGCATCTGTGGAATATTTCTGGGGGTACACAAGAAGAAAGAGAAGTAAGCTCACCATCAGATGCAATTACCCATACAGAGGTCTGTACCTCCAGTTAGTTGTTATATTTGCAGATCCTAAAAAAATGTTGAAAATTACTGCGCTAAAATGCTTTAGAAAGTAGGGGCACCTATTTTTCCTTCACTCTTGCTTTGAATATTCCTTCAAAGAATGGTTCTCAGAGAAGGGTGCATGATAGAAAATGAAATAATGTAAAAGTGCACCTCGGCAACACTAAGTTCTAGAGGGAAACTGTTTCAAACACATCATCGCCAGCTTTTCCTAGCTAGCTTGAATAGACATTTTAGTCAGTTGTCAGGTTGCTTGAACATCATTCTGAGAAACGCAACTCTCCTCACGCCTTCTATAACAGAGATTAGATGCCTAAGAACGGGTTAGGATCCTATCCTGAGACAAGTCTCTAAACTTGCACGCTGGAATACTTAAATCTGATATTGAATGTCCGAGCAATTTATGAATTCAACCTAATACTATACTGCTGTCCTGTGTGTGAGATGAGATTTGCTTCAGAAATTAGGTTATGAAAGCCTCAAACCCACCTTATGTTGACTGGTTATGTCACATATGCATATTTACCGAATTAAAAGAACTATTAGAGCTCTCTCCGCTTTCAGGACTTGCTACAGAAATATGTCAATGCCAACTAACTTAGGCTAGCCTGAAAGACTGAAGAAGCCCTACTATCTAATGGCAGCCCATGTCTGATAAGCAAGGAGAAGAAAAGTTACAGAGCACCAGGTCGAATCGCAGGGACACTGGCTGTGAACAGAACTGCACAAAAGTGGGATACAGACCTTGACTTCAAAACACATTTTGACATTTTTATTTTCCTCATTTTTGAAGAATATCACCTGCTATTCAGGTCCAGATGGCCCATAAATAAAATGATGCTCGGACATACATGTCAAAGTCAAAGACAGTTCAGTGAGCTGCATACATATATACAGATATCGAATGGAACTGAGGTCAGAAAACAGCCCACAGATCTTAAGTACTCTACGACATAACAACAGTAAACTGTTAGACAAATTGATCTTAGCAACAAGCCATTTCATAACAGAACTATTCCATTTTAGTGTCCATACACTGTTACTGATACAAGTGCTGTTCTGTCTTTTAATTTACATGACACATTTCCATACTGCAATCTACGTATTTCCAGAGATCTATAATACAGATAAAAATATGCATTAATTATACACACTTACCCCCTTTTTAACTTGATTTGGCTTCTTTTTTATGAAGGTGGTGTTCTCTGCAAGGATTAAATGTACATTACTTGACATACAATTTTGTTAACCTCAAAACTGCAAAAGTAAATTTCCACAGTTTCAGCCTCAAAATAAAGTTTTGGGAATTTATTTTAATGCCTTAAAGCATTACAGTTTCTACATGAAGAGATTTAGAAATCGGACAGTTACAGGGAAGAGGGCTGTGAACAGCACCAAGCAAAGGTGGGAAAGGGTCCCTGATACAGGATATGGCATCTCTTGCAAATACCCAATAGGAAATCAATCAGGGTTCAATTTTCAGTTCTGGATACCGACCAGTAAACAGAACAGGAATGTGGGACTTGCCAGTCAAAATCAGATTAGAGGTCTTTCTAATCTAGTATCCTTTTCGAGATTAATTGTATCCTGGATAGAAAAGTACTGGCTATGCATAAAAGAACTGATGATACCGGTAAAAAGCATCTGCCCCAACAAAATCATGACTATTATCAGAGGTGATAACATTCTGTATCACTGAATAATCAGTCAGTTTTGTTGAATTGCCTAAACTTAGTTTTAGGAGTTTAACTGAATACATAAGGTTCGAAAATTTCAGCTTTAATGCTTTGTATTAAATCTTCTAACATAAAAAAGGAATGAATGTGCATTCTGCTTTGCAGAAAATCTGATGCAAATCCTAATCTTTATGTTTTTAATAAGACCTCAATAGGACTCAGCATAGAAATATTGTTGTGTGTCTTACTGACAGCTATATTGAGCCAGCCAGTAAATCTCCCACAATCAAGTTTTCGATCAACAACTCCTACTGAATGCTTGTACATACAGGAAAACTAGTTTAAGACAAAGCTTAGCTGGAAACAGAGGGAACAGGCATACAGAAGGCAGACTCTTGACATAAAATAGAAGCTTGTAATGTCAAAAACAAATAAAGCACTTGTTTTATGAGAACACGTTACAGATAAACAAGCAAATCGTGAAGTGTATGTGGATAACAATATTTTTCCTATACCCTAGTGCCCATTTCATAAAAACAGCGACTATAAAAACAGTGATGCAGATAAGGTCTTCTTGAAATATTGGGGTAGACCCAGTGACCTTTTTACTAAAATGATGTGATGATTCAAAAAAAGATAAATCATCTATGTATTTTTTTCTGTTCTATTTTATTTTCCTCAACTGTTTGATTTACATATAGTATGATGCGATCTTCAGTGTTACTTAAACTAAGATTCTAGACATTGAAGATTTTGGATTATAAATATTGGGGTTCTACAGTCAAATTATATGTTTAATTTTCTAAAAGGGAAGCAAAAAGCTGTGTCTAGATAGAAAAATGGATCCATTAGTAGAAGATGTGTTTGCTTAAAGTACATAGCAGCAGGCCATTAATCGCAGCACAGTGCTCCATTCTACCTGTGTGCTTTAAATGTAGAATCTGAAGCAGACTCGTGGCAGGTGTAAAATATTAATGGTCACCTTTACTAGGTGTGATGCCTGCAGCATTTAAATTCATTGAGTCAGCTAAAATAGGAAAGATAAAAACAGAACACAACCAAGAAGAATTAATTTCTTAGATGGAATATATTGTTTAACAGAAGAAGTTATAATACAAATCGGTCTGCTTCAACTAACTCATGCACATCAGTATTAAAGTAAGAATTCCACACCTTGTCCCGGTCAAACATTCTCTGTAACAATGAATACTTAAGTACGCTACACTGGCTGCTATCTTCTTCTGCTTACACTCATTACCTAATGCAGCTTTTGGTGATGCACTAAGGCAATCAACACTTGGTCCATGCTCTGGTCCACCTAAAAACATAATAAATAACAAGGGTGAGAGTAACAGAAGGCTCATTACAATACTTAAAACATCAAAACACAATTCTTCATCCCCAAAGTCTTGTTTGATATAGACACCGCAATATGTTACTTCTGTCATAACTTTACTAGCTACTAACAAAGCAGCAGACACCCAAAGGTTAATTTGAAATCTTCTGAATCAGATTTTAATTTGGATTTCCTATTAAACACTATTTACAGAACATTCAGTCCCCCACAGTTTAGCATAATCCTTCTATTCTAGGAACTCCTTCTTCCTCCAAATTCTTAAATTATTAGCCTGATTACATTCTTTAACTATTGAAGTAGATAAACAGACTATCACAAAAAGCAGCTTACTGTTAAAGAATCAATCATACCTTCGTCGCATTCTGGAATATCTTCTGAAGGTTTCTGCTTCAGAGAAACTGGCTCTGATGATCCCCATTCTGTGTTCTTTGCCTTGAAAAAATTACAAAATCAAAGTACACACAAAATATAAATATGAATACTGTTCTCACAGACTGCTTGACCACAGCTGATTAGTTAATACTAGATTCTTGTGACTACAGCTTCTAGGTTTAAAACAGGTTCTCAGGAGGGCAGTAATTAATAGTTACAGAAACGCCCGCCTTTATTAAGGGCTGCCATTTTGAAAAGCACTGCTGAGCGTCTGTGTTTCCCTCTGAGGAACTTCAGTATGTTTACCACCTAAAATAATAATATTCATTTTAATTATGCTTTAAATTTATTTTTTGCATGTTGCTTATTAATTTTTTTTTCACTTATAATGGTAATGCAGTACAGAAGATCTGGGTCATTTATTTACATGTAACACCAATCCTTTTCCCCACGCTAGCCCCAATTTTCTAACATTTAGTTTTTGATGCTGTGCTGTCTTCCTGATGAGTCCTCCCACCTCCCCTCAGACACATCCTATTCAGCAGGCAGGCTTGCAACCTGTTCTCAAAAACACCTGGCTGGTATCATCCTTCCCACCTACATTGTGCCACTGCCAGTTCATGCGTCTTCTTCCTTAGAGCCTCTGTCTCAAAACATCATTCACATCCAGATGATCTCTTTCTCTGAGGTATGCAGACCATTTTGTCTTCAACCTCCTTCCTTTAACACTAGCCAAAAAGTTTGCTGTGGAAATTGATCTAATTTTACCCATAAATTATCTTACCTCATTTTTTAAATTATTTTATGGGGTTTTGTATCAAGTTCCTACTTCATCCTAAGCCTCAAAAACATTTACAAATTTCTCTACTTAAACTACTTTCTTTCTAGCTTGCCTCAGTATTCTTTCATGCTTCTCCCCCACTCACTTTCCAGCATTCTTCCATGTTGCGTTTTGCAAACAGAAATATCCCATTTATTTTTCTACTATCAGGGCAGATGGTCTTCTGATGAAGACACAGCACTTGAATTCACAATAATTGTGTTATTTTTGTCTTTGCAAAAGCATTTCTGTGTAGTAGAGTGTCCTTTCCAACCCGTAAAATGGAAATATTCTTTCCCTGTTTCAAAGATGGTGAAAAATATTTCTGTAAGATAGTCAAATATTGGCTGTAACAGAAGTTCCTAAAATAAATAACACAAAAAAAGCTGAATTCCCCTTTAAAGATGCACTACTTTCTGAAACCTTACAAATACAACAAAAAGGTTAAATTTTTAAATGCCACAACTGAAAAAGCAAAAGAAAAAAACCTCATTTTTCATTTAAATTACAGTTGATATTTCCCTCCTTAAACTTCCCAACTATGTCTTGTCCCTAAAAAATCATGTCATTTTTACTATGTTCTTCATACAGTTTAAGATACAAGCAGCTTGCACAGGCTTTTGTTATTTGCTGCTGATGTACACAAACAACAACACTGTTATGACAGGGAAATGGATAAGAGCATAAACTAGTGAAGAGTTCTCACAGCAAAACTAATCTGATATACCTGAGTTCTGAATTCTTCTCTATCCCAAAACATGCCTCACGATTGCATTTAAATGTCCACAGACTGCAACTATACTAGAAAGCAATTATACTGGAACACTTGGTATTGTTGCAACTTTTTTAGGAATACTAGATGTAAAAACAACTTAATTGCTCTAAGTTTAAGATCACAATTACTAAAGCTGTTTTCACTATAGACATCTGGATTTTTCAAATACCAGACTCTCCTGAGCCTCTAGAACTCTAATTTCTGAAATAAACACAGCATCTATCACTACAAGGCACCGGGACAGAAGTGGGATCAAAGAAATCAGAATTAAGAGTAGCGATGGCCTTCAGAACGTCACTTCAACTTTTAAAAGTTCACGCAAGTATTTTGGAGGAAGAAAAAGCTCCTGCTTAGCAAATGTTTTAAGAACTACTAAACTTTATTGACTAAAAACCAAACTTATCTCACAGTAAATTTAAATCAGGGCAACCCCAAGTCAGCAAGCATGAGTCCAAGTGGGATTGTAAGCCTAAGAAAAAATAGTTTCATTCCACATTTAGCTAGTATTTGGGTCATTCTAAATTATCATCTTATAAAGTGGTTCACATCCATGGAAGAATTTTGAGACCCACAGAAGGAAAAGCAGGTAAATGTTAACTCACCGACCTATTCTTTCTCTTTAAGGTTTTCTTTCAGGGTTTTAACTCCATCACAGAGCACACAACTAACATACGTGTTTTAGAAAGCTAACAAGAATTAAATACAGGTAATCTATACCTTGGGAGAAACATGAGATGCAAAAAAGTCTTCCTCTTTGTGCTGAGGTGACACAGGTGGCATTCCACACCCATCTGTCCACAGCTAGAATTTAAAAAGAAAAAATGTGAATTTTTTTCTTTAATTGTAAAGGACAATTGTTTTATTTAAAACGCATTAATATTAAAACTTCCATTTTTTTTCAGGTTGAATATTTATTGATTTTTCCTGGTAAGTATTTTCCCCTTACAAATACACTTGAGCTTTAATACCTGACATTCTGCTTTTTGATTGGGTATGTATGTGAAGTCTTCCTTTACATTCCCCATTTCCTTCCTAGTCAAATGCTCACTAGGAGCTCTGCTGCAGGAATACAGCTACCACTAGACCTTTATAATAGGCACAGTCTTCATATTCACAAGTAAGTTTTTTCTCTAATATTTTTATCTTGCACAAAACAAAAAAGCTAAAAACACAATACTCGCAGTTATTAGAAACAGTTTTCTGAACTGTCTCAGTGTGGTTTGCTACTCTGATTAATCTTCCCGCCTAATCTCAGAGTCCTCAAACCTCTACCACAGTTAAAGCACAGTTCTGTAAGATGCTAACAACTTTGAGCCTATACATGATTTCAAGGAAGGCTAAAAGACTCACAGTGCTGCAGGTTGCTCTTAGAATCCTGCAGGTCAGGACTTCACCTGTGATATGCAGTCCAAGATCATTCATAGGCAAATTATTTCTACCGGTTCTTTGTACTAAGCGCAAAAGGTGCACAACTGAAAATAGTAACCTATTTCAAATAGGTTGAACGTGCAACTAAGCTTACTTCATCATTAAACAACCGGTAATCAGTAATTTAGAGAATCAGTAATTTAGAGAAGTTTTCTTCTCTAAATCTCTCTTTAGATAGCACACAATTACTTAGGCTTGTGATATATAACTTAAAAATATGTATTATTTTATAATTTTTAATAAATATTAATATCAAGTTATATTTTGATGGAACTTGTAACTGAATTAAGACAATCGTGGTTCTTCAAAACATTATTCGGGGCACTCACAGCCAATTTAAATACACATGGCTTATTAAAAGTATACTTGAATGTGTTTTGTATCTAAGGGTGTTAAATTACTCACAAGAAATATTATCTGAAGTTAGCAATGTGAATCATATTATCTATAACATTTATAATATTGTAACCTATTAAATTTCATATTACTATTTAACGTATACATTAGGCAAAAGAAAGGCAAAAAAGCTTGTTTTTTTTTAATTCCCATTCAGCTGATCAACTTGAAATGAATTAATCATGGAACTGAACAAGCTGAATTAACCAACCAAAACATTCTTTCTGCATATTCAAAAGAGCTGTGCAACTCTTATTTAACACCTCAGCAAACTCTAATTCCACATACTTTGCTAATAGCTTCCTACTGCCCACTGACCTAACTTTCTTTAAGATTTTGACAACACGCATGAACTGCTTCAACATTTTTAGTGGAAACCAGTAAGTTCAGGGCATAATAGAACTTGCCAATTTTTCAAATATGCTTTTTGTAAAAATAGTAAAAAAAGTTAACTGCTCAGATCAAAATCCCACATATTTTGTAAATAATTCTTTTAGCACTTTTACCTTTCTACGTGCTATAATTCTCAATAATAATTCAGTTCCAAAAAGGCCAAAATAAAAAACATTATACAGTTCACAAAGAAATACTAAGATTTTTGTTATGTAGATACCACTGATATAATTTTGGAGCGTGCCTGTGAAACAAAATAGTTCATATTTTAAAGAAGATCTGAAGTTTCTGCCTAGAACTCATAACAGCTACTGCAAGTGTTATAATCGCTGTTTGAGTAACACAGAAGTGAACCTGAAATATCAGGCTGAGCTTTAATGTCACTATTCTTTCTTCCAACGAAAAAAGATAAGCTGCAAACAGTCTACTTCCTAGCTTTACCTGTTCATTGTAATGTGTACCCATAACTCTAAAAGGCAGTCTTTTGCACTACTAATTAGAAACTTAAAATGACTCTGGGGGAAAAAGGGGAAAGCTTTTCAGAAATCAACATGACCTAGGACACATTACTCACATCAGTACCATGCTTTCTTGTTGCTTGCGTTGCAAGTGATTTAATCTTTTCCTTATAAAGCTGAGCACCACGACTGTTATACTTTGCGTTGGTGTCATTTGTTGTGCACCCATGTTGATGGAAAAAAGCAGACTATGAAGCAAAACACAGAAAATGCTATGAAAAACAGGTTGAAAACCTAATGCATTTCGTATAAAAGAATTACTGCAATGCAGCAAAATGCTCTGCTCCCCAGTCTAAATCCGACTGATGTATAAATAAAATAACAGAAAACCCAAACACATTAGCGAGGTTTTTTAAAAACATATACAAGCTTCTAATCACCTACAGAGAATCCAAGTTCTAAAACCAGCTGTAGAAGGAAGAGGTAATTGATTTCCAATACTTGTGCTACAAAGGACAATCCTGATATTCTAAAAATCATTCCCTCACTTCATCTCTGGCATGCTAAAGAGAACAACGTATGTTCAATAACATCTGAATAACTGCATATAGGTCTTCCTTAAAGTGTGCATACACACACACAAATGAAATACGTTTTATTCAAACTTAGGGTCTTTTTAAAAAAAAACAAAAAAAAAGGCAAATCAGTATGCTTAAAATAGAGTTCCACAATGCAGAAGAAAAAAAGAAAGTTGTCTGAAAGGTCAAAACACAGACAAGCTGGGCATCTTTTAGTACCTAGAATTGACCAAGTCATGTCATACACTCTTCCACGAGAAGTAACTGTCAAACTATTCCAGCAATACATATAAAATATTTTCTAACAGGGTTAACATGTCAAGATAACCTAAGGTTATTACCTCTTTCGCTGCAATTACAAAGTGTATATCTAGTATACAAGTACCAGATTTTGTAGACAGTTTAAGCAACAATCACGCAGAAGGGATGTAATGCCAGCCAACTAACTTCCATGATTAATGTAGTCTAAAAAGTCACGGATGTCAACAAATTGTGTATTCTTTCATTTAAATATATACAGCCATGAATCCAACTTTCAGAGCTCAACTTTGTACATCCTAATTACAACCGTAGTAAAAATTTATTCTGAAAGCAAAAGGATCTCTGAACACTTTAGAATTTCTAGCACTCTGTTACACAGCTTAGCTGCTCATGACTACTGTTTTCCAAGATTCAAAATCAACAGGCTATTACAGAATATAGATGTCTAATGTTAATCTGATAATATTTCCAAAATAGTCATTACTAAAAACAGAACGTGGCACTTAATAAGAGGAAAAATGTTAATTTTACTTTGTAATGTTTACTAAATTGGTCTTTAGTTTACTAAATTGGTCTTTAAAGTTCCAGACATTAATCCTGCTAGGTAATCCAAAATAGGCCATTATCAATTTGAGATATATGTATTAACTATTAGACTTCTTGGGACAATGTAAGATAAGAAACAGCAACAACAAAGCAGAAAGACAAAAAAGCGAAGCATTAAATAATTCAGATTTGTTGTTCCAGGAATACACTTCCTGCAATTAACTAAAGTACTTTTCAAACTTTGTCATCTCTTCCTTCTAACTGCCTTAAATCCTTTGGCTAGAAAAGAAAATGTTTTTCATGCAAAATATCTCTCTGCTGATTAGTACATAAAATCACAGTTTTGACTAAGTGGCATAACAGAAACTCAATGAGATAATTCTTTTAAGAACAGTATTGAAATGGTAAAAAAACAGAAAACAAAATAGGGAGAAGACAACACTTCATTTCTCAAGAAGGTATGCAACTGCTCAGATATTTAAATCAGGGAGACTGATCTGCTGAATGCCTAATTAAAAGAAAAAGGGTTGACTGGAAAATGCAGAAGTGGAAGACAACCTGAATAATAATGATCCTGAGTTACCACTCCTTTGTATGGAAGCAGACCAAAAAAAACTCAAAAACCACAGCACAATATGAAAGCATTTAGACTTGAGAATAGTAGATAAGGCAAGCTCAAAACTGTTGAGTAAAAACCTATGGGGAGACAGCTTGGGTGGGAGGAGGACAAAAAAAAACCTCAGGCAACCTTGAAGTTTCTCAAAGAAACAACGTTAAGGACAAAGCACAAATTAAGAAAGATACAGGGTAAGCATTTAGGGGATAATCAGAAAAGTATAAATTGCTTAGGGAAATTATATGTTTCCAAATTGGGTGGGTCTACTTAGGGAAGCAATCTGTTTTCAGCGATTATATTCCAAAAAAAGGGAAAACAGGCAAGAGTCCAGAAAAGTTGACAAAGGAAAACATCCTCTTTTTAAAAGGAGGTTGAGAACACTACAGCGGTCAAGATAACTTCAATTTACCAAAAAAAAAAAATCGTGGAACAAATTTATTTCTTAGTATCTAGAAAATACAGTAGTAAGAAACAGCCAATACACGTTTGCCAAGACAAAAACGCTGCTACTTCCTGCCTCTGACAGGGAAGCATGTCCTATGTTGACTTCAACTATACCAGCAGGTACAGGTCACATCTCGGCTCAGTGGAACGTCTGACAGGGATATGATTGTTATGACATTTTCATATGGCCAGTAAGGAAACACGGTCACGAGAAAAGCTTGTGAGCTAGGTTTGCAAAGGCTGGAAAGTCAACCTTTCAGTAGTTACCAATGCTTCACTTTTAAATCACAGATGTATTGAGCAAGGATCTGGTCTGGTCCTTTCAGTATTGTTAGTAATGATTTGTATGAAAAAAAGAAAACATCTGCAGATTATGCCATTATGGAAAAATTGCAAGAAGCTTGGAGAAAGAGAAGGGGGTAGGGGGGATGAAAGAGAGCGATAAATGGTCTGAAAAAATAAAAATACCCCAGGATGTGAATCAGTAAGAACCAACAATAGCTTCTAAGCCAAACGAGCTTCAGCGTGCAAAACAAATACTTAGGAGCACAATATAATTCCTAGGATGTACTTACGGCATTTGCATTTCCTCCAACTTGCATGCATCTCAGTTGAAACCAAGACCAATTGGAATCCAGTTCTGTAGATCTAAGCAGAGGGAAATATTTTAATGTTATCTCAAAAGCCACTTGAAATTTCTCTCCCTTTCTCATTTTTTTGAAAAGAGAAGAATGTATACAACTGTAAAAACAAACAAAAAAAAAACCTGCAGCAGAACACAGTTATGTAGAACAATTTAATAAAGTCATGCACAACTGCCATACAAAAGTTTGAGAAAATCCACCCTTTCATGGATAGGTTTTCCCCTTTAAAAAGCGCCATTAAGATATATTTTGAGGAACCATATCTGAACTCTTTGTAAACAGCAGAAGACAATCACACCTAAGGACCAAACTGACGATTCATACACTATATTACACCCAAAATTTGAGACCCAGTGAACATCAGGATGATTAGTGCCGCGATCATCAGGGATGGATTCTTGAGAGTCCTCTTGTAACTCTCCTGCGCACAGGGAAAAGGTAGCAGAAGAGGAACATTGATTTAGTTGATGAGCGATGGCTGCTCTTATTTGCAAGCCATTCTTAGATACGTTGCTCTCGCTCACTTTAAACAACCTCCCATTTTGAATATGTAATTATTTATTAGGCCAAAAAGAGACATACTCTAGAGACGACGTGTTAGGACGCTCACCTGAAACGTGAGAAGCCCAGGCTGCAGTTTTACAGTATGACTGAGACAATCTAACAGTTGCCATCAAAGCGAACAGCCCTTCACACACAATCCCTCTCTCCCTAGTCCAGTACTAGCGCTCTGGTGACACCACAGCGAGCTACTTCAGGAAGCAAAACTGGCAGAAGGCTATTTAGCTCTCTAAACTGGCTTGCTGTGGGGTCAGATGACTATTAAGACCAATATACTGTAACAGTGCAGAAGACAGTAAACAAATATTTACTGCAGATTTGATTTGGAAAAACATATAAAGAACAGAGTAAGTGTGATGTGAAGTACTTCATTTTCACCATCTTCAGTGCAGAAACTAATCTGCCAACCAATGTGCCCTACTAACACAACAAGCAGGCACTGAGAAGGGGTGCATGGGACAAATTCTACTGAATCCCATCTATTTACCAAATTCCCAAGGAGCTATCAGATAAATCATAGCCAATGCAAACTGTAAGAAGGTCTGAATCAGTAGTTAACAGAAGAATGCATTTTCACCTCTAAAGAGTCATCTGAACAATAATAACAAAATAAAACAATGTTAAAGATTGCAATAAAAATCTTACCATTTTTACTATAAAAGTATGTAAACTACTTACCGAATGAAACTCAAATGAACACCAAGTGATCGATGGGTCCCTGAACAATCAATGCAGAGAAAAACTCCATACGTTACGCTTGCCCAGCTAGGGTTTTTTGCTCCACAGTCAAAACATACCTTAAAGAAAATAAAGATTAGTAACTGGATTTAAGTATAACCACTTCTTGTAATTGTATTAGGCTACCCTTACAGTGAGGGGAAATTAACTAACTCATCTCATCCTCACAGTATCTGTTGACACAACACCTTCATATTATCCTAATTTGATAGGCAAGAAAGCAAAAGTTACACCATTTGCCCAAGCTTTTATGTCTTTGCAGTAATGGACAGGACTAGGCTTACTGCGCTTCTGGTTTCTGTCCACGATCACCGCACACACGGACCACAGGCTGAGAAAGAGTGGGCTGGAGAACCCATATCAATCTACTTCAAAAGCATACATTTAACACAGTACTTCCTACACTACTGAAATACAAAGCTTTTAAGAAATATTTTCACAAGGGCAGGCTCTCTTCGCGGTGATACCACTGAATCTACCCTTTTCACAGTACGTACATGCAACTTCAGTATCAGCAGTACTAATGACATTATATATAATTATCCTTACTATAGGGTCCTTGTTCCTTACAGCAAGCCAATGAAAGTCAATTCTCTGTGTGAAGAAAGCGTCCACTCTGCACACGGCGCAGCCTAGCTTTCTCTGGTTCCTTCCAGACATGACTATTTGTACGATGAACCGCTTATATATTGCTATACCAACCTTTTGACTCTCCATAACGTAGGCTGGTTAAAAAGCCCAGAGGCCCATAATTACTGCACACGCAAAAAGGAGAATTACTTCCCCTCTGCGGCCACATTAAATTCCTAACACTTAGCTAAAAATGCAAAAGGTATTTCTAAGTCTACATTTATTATTCTTTGCGGGTCTATGGAATGTACCTTTCAGGTCCTGTTTCTGTAATTCTTAACTGTGTTCTTCTTTGGCCAAGGAAAGCAAGAACAAAAAATTTATTAGATGCAAATCAATTTTCAAACGCAAGGAAGAACATAAATTCAAACAGAAACAGCTATTCCTACCTATACTATGTGAATACATCTATTCCTGTATGAAAGCACTTCATTATTTGGTTAACGTGCTTTCAGTGGAAAGACTGCAAAGAAATATTTTAATTTCACAGTAAAACATCCACCTATAGACATACTCAGAGATATGCATTAAGAAACTCTCCACGGACAGACAAGCTTCTAAACTCAAATCAGTGGAGTTTCAATCTGCAACCTTACTCTCCAACATCCTATAAATCTAATACATTCTCAGATATAAAGGAGACTTCTAGCTGTACCTACGAAGAAAAAAAAATTGGTTCCTCCTGGCGTGGGGACATATGGAGCGTTCTACAAGGAGGCCACAATGCCAGCGCTTCCTTGTCAGGGTGGGGGGCGGGGGGGAAGAGTTAAAAACTCTCCTTGCTAGAGACTCCATTCATACAACCAAACAGAGATTTTTGTCTACGTGCCCACTCAAACAGACCAGAATTTATCCTTAGCTCAGCTCACCTATCAGCCATCCAAATTAATTTCAAGCTCATGCCCAGGAGCAGTCTGAGGCTAAACACTTTGTTGTAGTGTGTTTCTGTTTAGTTTATACAGTCCAAATTTATCAGGAACAAGCAAAGTTCACCAGCAGATCCACAACATCAACTCTTCCTAAACATGAACACATTTAAGTCTGAGCTTCAGTCAGACTAATAATCTGTAACACAAAGAGAAAGCATGGAGGTCGCAGTCCCGGGGTGCTACGTTTATTCTTCCTCTTCGATATAGCCTTAAGCAGAGCACTTCCAAAAGGAAAGGAGAATGAAGAACATTTATGTATCCCACTACAGGAACGGGGATCCCCAGGAACGGGGACATTCATTGGCATATGAAAGAAGAGAGAAAGAAGAAACAAGAGGAAAAACTACATGGAAGGAGCAACAAAAGGAAGGGTTAGAGGCACTTCCTGAAATAAGCATAGACAGCAGAATGACATACGGACAGCTTGTTAGGGAAAAAGAAAAAAAAGAGTAACTCTTCAGGTATACCATACTGTAAAAACATTCATAGCTGTAAAAACATTCTTGGCAGTCAGAACTCAGCCTCTTTTCCTCTCAGTAAGATCATTCTCTCCATTATTTGAAATAGTTCCTTAAATAATCTCTATAAACATTACCTTAATCTTGATTTTAAATTGGTTATTGTCAGGATTTTCTTATAAGGCCAAAAGGAGCATGGGGACAGCAAAACAGGAGAAGATTCTGTTTTAGAACAGTGGTAATAAAACAGCTCTGGTCTTGTTTCTAATACCAGAGAGCAAAACAGACTTACAATACTGCTCTGAGTATAGAATTTCCCTAGAGCTCAAATGGTAAAAAAAGAATCTTGAGTATCAGCAAGCATTTAAAAATTAAAAAAAGTTTTAAAAGTTGAACAATAAACATCCCTAAAAATTATTTTTCCCTCCCTGTACAATTACAGGCACCACTTAATTTCATCAGCTTAAAAGTTAACTGCATCATCTTGGAAACTAACTGCCACAAAGCAGTATACAGCTCAGTGTCTCCACTCATGTAGAATCAACTCTGTATAAACTATTTACCAGACACCTGGGAAAGTTATTCATTTATATAAAAATTTAGCTTTTAAATTTGTGATATAAGTAGACAAACATCTAATTCTCTTGTGAAAATAATATAAGAACTGTTGTTTCCATCATGTTACGCAACAGAAAAGAAATATGTTTCATTAACTTAATACTTGCACTCATTTTGCTTATCCTTCCTTGTGAATTTGTAAAGTGCTTCGCATCACACAAATTGTAACAGGAATTGAAAACAGAATTAAATCACGTTTCAGAGCCACCTTATGAAATTGCTTCCATTTAAAAAAAAAAGTGTATTTTCTGTAGTGACTTAGGTGCAATTGAAGTTGTCAAACTAATTATAAAATTCAACTTGAAAGATAAATAATTGACTGCTTTTAAAATATACTTGTATTATTTTGGTTTATTTTGTATTAGGTCATTTCAGGACAGCCCAGCTTCAGTAACAGCCACTTTGGAAAAAAGAGCAAACACAAAGACCTAGATGTAATCTGCAGCAAACAGTCATTAAATCAGCAACATCCACCCTATACAAAACACCTATATTAACAAATAAATAAATACACAGTATCTATTGTTGTTAGACACGTACTAATACACAGCGTATAGAAATGTTGGTTTTGGCACCAGGCAGGTTCAGCATGTTCACTGCATGCAAAACTTATCCTTCAGGTCATGGTTACGTAGACAATTTTAACCTGGCATATACTGGGGCTGTTGCCAAAAGGGTATCTCTGCATCTCCTCGTGCTTGCCATTCCTATTGTGTGAGACCACCAGAACGTTGTGCGAATACGAAACTAGTCAGCACATAAGTTTCATGACTGGTCACAGGTGTTCTAAACTCAAGCAGCTACCGCCTTAATTACCAACCACTTGTATCCAGACAGGCCTCCCTGCCCCTTGTCTTGTATCAGCAGTAATAGTCACACTTGCTGATCCTACTGGAAACTAGTACTGCAAAACTGCTTTGAATCGGAGCAAAGGTAGGTCCAACTCACTACCCTGCCACATGATCAGTAATGCCAATACAAGGGAGGGAACAGGAACGTTTACCAGACGAAGAAGGCTGGACTGCCTGTTTTGGAAGTCGTCTTAAACTGACCTAAATCAGTCGAGGTATACTATATTCTACAGTGGCAAAACCAAACCAAACCAAACTAATAACGCATCACCACAACACGCACAAACAGTTGGGTTTCAGCCAGTTCAGATCCTTTATCTGGCTCTCCAACCAGGCACACCACTACTATTACCAACATAAGAAAAGGAAAAGAAACAGAGAGAAAGGAATCAAAAACTATTTCTTTTTCACAGGTATAGATCCATGCTAGATTAAAAGAGACTGTATAGCCACAGTCTCAGGGTGCAAGTCTTCAGAACAGGTAAGCTCTACAAACGTTTCAGTTAACAATACCAGCTAGCTTTATATCTATGAACATTTTTTAGATGTACAAAATGCATCCCATTTAATAGTTGTAACATTTTTGTTAAATATTGTCAGGCAGCTCTATACTACATAATACACAAGGAACAACAAAAACTCCAAAAAGTTATTTCCTGTGCTATTGAAAAATAAAGCAAACTAAAGCCAAGTTAATTAACATATGTTAATCTCAAGACAAGCATTCACACAGCAATTTAACACACTACCATCCACAAATCAAACTGCGCATTTATTTAAATCCGAATTTTTCCTAAGCACTTTTGTACTAAGAATTACTGCAGAGCACCTAGCACAGCGTAAATACATGTGCCTGCTTAGTAGGTAAATAGCAAGTCCAGCTGCTGCACTGAAGAGATTCTAGTTCCTCCCAAACTGTATAAATAGACAATACAACTAAATAATTTAATAGCCTTTAATAGAGAGCCTTTTGACGCTTTCCAATATTTGCATTTCTTTCCTACGTCAGCAGAAAAGCCTTACAAATAAAGAGAACTGGAAGAATCAAGCAAGCAGAATCAGAAGAATATACCGAGAGGAAAGAGAACAGAATAAGACATAACCAAATGTGAGAAGATAAAACGATGGCTGCAACAACTTTTACTTAAGAAGACTGTTTGGATATATGGACACAGGACATTTGTGGGACATAAGCTGTTGATCTTACTCTTTAGAGATCAACAAGACAGGACTTCACTGCAGACTTAATATCAGTTATCTGCATCTGAGTTACTTCCTTCAGACTGACCTAACTTGAATAGGAGAAAACTTTGTGCCAATATTACTTTGTCAACACCGGCACTAAGAAATACAGTGCTTGACACGACTGCCAGGTAAGACAGGTATGCCTGAACAGCCACAGGTGAAGTCTAACATGGTAACAATGAGTTCAGTACAGGAGAATTACTCAAGCAACTTGATTCCTAATTTTCCATCCTCGCTAGCAACGTCTTTTGATTCTCACGATACCAATCGCAAAAAAAGCATCGCAATAGTGTTACATACTATTCAATCTCTTAGACAAAGTGCCAGTGAATTTCAGGAGCTTGCAGATTTTCTTTCTGACTCTCCTTGTTGGGTCTACAACGTTTTCTTGACAGACTTCTTACCCTACTGTGAAAGCCATCTGTAAGAACACTTGCGTTAGAAACTGACTGATGAGCTTTCACCTCTGATATCCACTTCCTGAGAGGACAGAAACACCTCCACAGCCAGTAAATCAAGGATTTGTGTTGAAAGTGTAGCAGTCAATTTTGCACCAGATTTTGCTCCAGATTTGTATTTCCAGCAAATAAAAATAAGGTGTTTCTTCATAATGTCAAACCAAAGTTTACCAGTTTAAGTTGGATCAATTTATCAGTATGTTCACAGCATATCATAATGCCAGCAAAACTGAGGAACTAGCATTAAAAAACAACACAGGAGCACAGAACTGCTGAAGGGTAGCTCTGCTGCCCAAAGCTTTATCACGTCACTTTGCAGTCTGAGGCGCTTTCCAAGTTCTTAACTAGGCATTGAACACCTTAACAGATAAGAAAAAACGACAGGGCTTTATAACGCTGAAAAGTTAAAATCCTTACTGAATGAGGCCAGTGCAATAAGAAAACATACTTTATAGCCACAGGAAGTGACTGTGCTATGACCGACCTATCTGAGGAAAAAATTACATTCAGCACTCTACAGTCTCACCACCGCTTTGGAACTTGCTTTTTAACTAAGTTGGCCCTCTCCCCAGCAATTCTTAGACCTCAGGTACCTGAAAGGAGTTCGCTCCTCTAGCTAAATGCTTGACCTTGAACGAACAGCGCAACACGCCACTCAAGTTTGCAGCACCAGCAAGCAACGCGTTACACCGTCCAGAGGAAAGGAATGAAAGGTGAGCGGGGCTTTCCTCCGTTTCCGGGACAGCCACACCGGCGTGCCCCTGGCTGAGGGAGGCGAGCAGGGAGAGCCCGGGTGCCAGAGCGCGGCACCCTCACGGAGGCGCTTCCAAAACGACACCCTCCCCCGGGCTCTCCTTCCTCCCACAGGCACACGGGGCGCCCCG